AATTCAATTGCTGTTTATTTTAGATGTAATAATCGGCACTAAAATAGACAGTTTTTACATGAACTTTTTAATTGTATAATTATGAGAAATTAATATTTAAACACGGCAGTCATAACTTTTTATAACAGATTTATTCAAACATACAGTAAATAAGACATCACTAACAGGTTAACTAAATCTATAATGATTATGCAATATGGTGACTAGAAATTTGAGAACTATTTCTAGTTGACTAGAACTAGATATGGACGTTGAATGGCTTTTCTGAGGTAAATGTAGCATTAAGTAACATTGATTGCAAGCTGTTTATTGAGTCTTTCTGTTGTTAAGTGATTACATGAGGCGTGATGCATTTTTAGTAAGTTGTACTGTATCTTTTAATGTACCTTTTGATGTTCATTCATTTCTATTTCATACTATAGCAAGTAGTAAAGAGGACAAAGATAAAGCTATCTGTCGTGCAAGAACGTTGAAACAACATTTATTGTTTTAACTACGTGATGAAATTGACTGAATTTGTAACCTGACACTTTGTTTCATAACAAAAGTACAAAGCAGAAAGCTGATTGCTGTTATTAGTGCTACAAGTAATGTTTAGTGAAGTTTTGTTCATGCATCAACAGAAAACACTACAGACTGAATCAAGTCTGTGAAGATGAATTAAAATCAGTTTGGCAACTCAGTCCTAATAAAAAAAATAAAAATAAAAAAGAGCAATACCTACGAAACCTGGATTATTCTATAATGTTTATTGAAGATTTTTGTAGAAACCTCTAACCTTGACCCTCTTCTCTGCTAGTGAACTCACTCAGATTATTGCAGACGTGGCTCAAGATCCAACACTGCCTCGGACTGAGGACCACCCTTGCCCAAAGTGAGAGTTAAATATGTTTCTTGGTGTAGATGTATGTTAAAAATGATGTTATTGTAATTCACATTAATTCTTATAATGGGCCATTTTATAATGAATGTGTTTTTTTTAGGTGTGGCCACAAGGAGGGGGTGTTCTTCCAGTCTCACAGCATGAAGGCTGAGGTAATGATTCGCACAATCACTGTTTGCTGCAGTTGTTCAACAGTTTCAGATCCGTGTCTCTTGATAACTGCAATAAAGAATTACTTTTAAAACAGTTTTCACTCAGAACTTGCTAGTAAAGTTCACAAATAGTTACAAATAAATGGCACGCTGAATTAAACAGACAATTTTGATGTAGACACACTGAAGTAGTATTTTCTTGTAAAATGTACTCCAGAAATCTTTATTTACAATTTCAAAAAATATATTTTTTACAGTGTGTTTGTTGAACAGTGTTTGCTTAATTACAGCAAAATCATAAATGCTATCTAGGATAAAATTGAACTTTGACATGTTTTGATTTTCTGAATGCAGGATGCCATGAGGCTTTACTATGTATGTACTGCCCCACACTGCGGCCACAGATGGACAGAATGAGGAGGATAAAGCCACGAATGACATAAGATGAGACGTTCTGGGGTCATGCATCACTCTAGTTCCATTCCAGAACATTATTTCTCAGTTTAGGGGACGTCTGTTGTGGAGTGAACGTATCTTACTGGTGACCCAACTGTAGGTCACTGATGCATTTGTGAATAAACTGCTGTATAATTTTAGTTGTGAATTTAAGTGCCCAAACACCAGCGACTCGTCCTTTGACGCGAAGTGTTTATAGTTTTTCATTTTAATTCTACACAGTGTATTTTTTGAAGGTTTGTAATAAAATATTACAAAAAATAAGTTGAGTTTTCATTTTGAAAAGTTAGGCTATAGTTTTGAGTTTGGATTCTGGGTACAGTTTTTATTCAGTGGTGGCTTGGAGTAGGGCTGCACAGTTAATTGAAATAAAATAGTGCTGTCAAACGATTTATCGCATCCAAAATAAAAGTTTTTGTTTACATAATATATATGTGTGTGTACTGTGTATATTTATTATGTATATATAAATACACACACACGCATGTATGTATTTAAGAAAAATATGTTACGTTTATATATGAATATAAATATATACTTGTAAATATTTTCAAAATATATGCTGTATGTGTATGTATTTAAATATACACAATACACACACATATTATGTAAACAAAAACTTTTATTTTGAATGCGATTAATCGTTTGACAGCGCTAAAATAAAACCAAGATGTGATATGGCTTTGGCCACATACACACTGCAGCTAAATTTGGTTGTCAGTTCACCTTTTAGTGCTTAATTGCATTCTGTACACACATAATTCACTAAAACACGGAGGTGACAACCACAGTCGACAACCGAATTAACTCCCGAAAAATACAGGTAGTGACAACTGCAGAAATTCTAAGCAGTGTGTACGGAACCTTTGTGTGATTATCAATTTGCAATTTAATTAAATGCATAAGCTGCGTGTTTCAGAGTTAAGCGCAACACTGTGTTCTTTTACACACAAGCAGCTCATGATCTGTTGTTTTCAGTGTCTTGAAGCGGTTCGGTTCACATTAAATGCTGCTCCACACAAACTCTGTATCTGCTCTGAGTTTCGGTCGCTTTTAATGTGCATTTGGAAACGCAACCCATGCTTCACACGCCAACCATCCTCACCAACGTGTATTGAGAAGATCTTATAAACTGACTATTGTTAAAAAAAATAGAGAAGGCTCTCCGGTTTTCCGCCAAAATAAAACCATAAATATTGGTATTGTAATTTTAAAGTGGTACTGCAAAATATTTTTCTAAATACTGTATTACAGTACACTCTAAAAAATGCTGGGTTAAAAATGGACAAACCCAGCTATTGGGTTGTTTTGACCCAGCGGTTGGGTTCAAAACAACCCAATAGCTGGGTTTGTCCCTTTTTAAACAACAACATTTTTCTCAGTTGTTGTTTTCTCAGTTGTCAGAGAGCATAAAGTGAAAACCCGGAATGGAGCTGCGTAGAGTGACTAAAGGAACGCTTTAAAAACTCCGTTCCGTTCCGCTCCACTCAAACAAGCTGTTCCTGACCAGCTTTCAGTCTGTTGTTTGAGACGCAAAACTTCAGCCCAGAGTTTCCGAGTACCCCTGGAAAGTTTGTAAAGCGTAATTACAACGTAAGGTCAAATGTTTCTCAAACGTAAGATACTTCGTATGAATTCCTTGTTACATAAAGCAATTTCACACGGTCAGTCATGCTGTAGTTCTGAAAATCAGCACGGCTGTGATTGCCACCGACAGCCTCGTGCCTCAGGCTGAATCACAGTGCAAACTAATTTATCATCAACATGAGAATAATCACAAGGTTTGACTTTTCCCCATTGTACTTAGAGAAGTGGTTGTGTAATCGGACACAGCGTTAATGCAAGTGACTGCCACTTGTTACGTTATGCAACTCTGCCAAGCTGTCACTTCTGTTATTTTTGCAATGGTAAAATATCGCCTATTCATAGTGGCATTTCCATTATGATCTATAAAAAGCCCGTGCAGTAGAATTTCTTCATATCTGCCTGTAGGACTCGCGACCTGAATTTCTGCACGAGACAGGAAAGTACGGGGAAGCTCAACATGTTTGTCCCTCCCAGTCATATAGGGCTATTAAACTTGTCAGCTTGCAGGTCATGTCAACCACATTCGCCGGGTTTGAAAGAAACGTTGATCGCTGATATGGACGGACACACACCTGGAGAACCCGTGGATATGAACGCAGGTAAAAGCAAGCGACCGTGCGCATAGCTTATATATGCCATTTGTAGCATGTTTATGTGAACGCACTGTTGTTTTGCAGTGGCTGTAGTGAGTCGTCGCGAATGGAACGCCGTGGAAGCTCGGGACAGGACAGAGATGAAGAATCCCGCACAGACAGTGATCGTTCACCACACGGCGCTCCGGTACTGCGAGCATCCGCGCGACAGCGTCTCTCAGCTCGCGCACATCCAGCACATGCACATGCAAGAGAGGGGCTTCGACGATATCGGTTACAAGTAAGACATTATAACAAAACACTACATGTAATATCTGACCGTTCTTTATATCACAGTGTTATTAAGTTATACAATGATACATTAAAAATAAAGATTCCAAAAGGGTGTTTTTGCAGTGATGCCATATTTTTGGTTCCCAAAAGAACCATTTTGAAGAACATTTAACAAATATAAAGAACCTTTTTTGACTATAAAGACAACATTTTACAGTAAATTAAAAATATTTAATTTTGCTTTAAAATATTAAGAATATCCACAATACTCAAAAGTGTCCACTCACATGAAAGTCAGTGACGTGTTAACTAAGATATAGGAAGCCATTTTGCCATGTGACCAAAGAAAATTTTTTTTTTTGAAGAAAGAAAAGAAAACAATACAGAAACGTCCACTGTAGATCATCAAGACTGTGTCTAAAGGGTTTTCTTTTTTTCTTTTTCTTTTCAAATAATCACGTTTTTAGCTTTTTCCCCACCAAAAAAAAAAAGAAAAAAGTTTTGTCCTGTTTGAATTTTGCGGACATAACAAGTCTCTGTCTGTCTAACTCCAGCTTTCTGATCTCTGGAGACGGGATGGTGTATGAAGGGCGAGGATGGGGGATTGTAGGGGCCCACGCAAAGGAGCACAACTTCAATTCTGTTGGCATCGCATTCATGGGCAACTTCAACGGTGAGAACGTGACTATCTCTATATTATCACATTAAATTTCATGTTTTAATTATTGTTCTTTGTGGTGTTCACACTATATATTACTGTATCTATTGTTCTGTTGTGATTTTTTGTGGATTTGTAAATGGAAATAGAGATTGTAAATGTGCATAAGAATTGAATTGCACTTTAGCAATGAAGTAATGACTTGTTTAAATGAAGCAAACTATACAATACAAATTAACCAAAATGCACACATTGTAAAGCAAATTTCTGTTGTCTGTAGATGAATTGCCCAGTTCTGCATCGCTGTCTGCTCTGCTGAGACTGCTGCACATTGGAGTGCTTCACGGTCATGTGCAGCCCAATTTTGTGCTTGTGGGACACAGAGACGTGGCAAAAACTGAGTGCCCGGGGAAAAATGTATATGCTTTACTACCAAAACTAAGAGACCAATTACAAAACCAGTGACCTCTTTTCTATGCATAAGTTGCATTAAATCCCTGCTGTGTGTGTAGCAATGTGTGAATGTGAAAATGTATGATAGGTTTATTTTTGCTCTAAAATGTTACATTTTACAGTCTTGTGTGCCTTGTTAAAATCCCTTGTCAAAATATCCTAAAGTAATACTAATGGATAGATTTTTATCAAAATTTGGAACCAATTCTGAAGGACATAATTAAGAGTCCAATCAAATAAGATCCTACTGGGGGGGGGGGGGAATTATGAAAATTAGAAAATTATTTTTATCCAGAGAATTCATCTTGTTTGATCCCTTTAAGATTAATATAAATTATAATAGAAATCCCATTAGCAGTCTTTATTATTTTTGATGAGGGATATTTTATAGATGATTTTTTGAAGACTATAGACTTGAAATCTCCAAAATGGTTCAAATAGTTCAAATGGACTGTACAGTAATGTGCAATAAATTAGTACTCGGGTGTGGCCAATTAACCGAAGGTGTCAAATATCCTAGGAAATGAAAAGGTTTGCAAATACACCTTTCTATTTTTTGAAGCCTTTTTGTCCCAGTGACATGTGCATCAGTGCCTGTTTGATGTTGTGCATCAGTGCCTTTCTATGAGGTACAATCAATGATCATCTTTGTGTCTGTGATTTTATCATTAAACTCATATTTATTATTACTGTTTCCCCACTTGTATTTCCTCTATCACCTAATGTGTACTTGTTGCGTTGAAATATCATTATTTTACTTTATCTGTTAGTCTGTTTAGTCATTGATGCAAGCACTGAAACCAAACCTAACGGATTCTGAATTAGAGAACAAAACATTGATCTTGTTTAATTTGATATATAACATCTGCTTTTCATGTATTTTAACATAAAGCTACATTTATATTCTATAGGCTATAGACCTAATTTTATGCGCAAAATGTGTTACAACACACTCTGTGATAGACTGTAACCACAATACTCTTTGTACTGGACGTTAATTTAGCTACAGTTTAAGAAGTGGACTTCAAAACAACGTTGACGCAGACAAACAAATTAGGCCTATATCAAAGTCTGAAGCAAGAGGAGTTACGGACGTTAAAACAAAATGTGTTTCAACACTCCCCAGTCATAGGGCTACTACACGTAGCCTACTCATTCAGTATAGGGCCAGGCTATAGGACAGGCCTACTGTATTTTTTGCACTGTAAGTGCACGACACGCTCCCTTATGGAGCCGAGGGCATCCTCCAGAGATTAGGGTTCATGTCCATCCTAAGCTGTTTGTTTACTCACATCTCCAAGTGTTGTCGCATATCTGAACTCCTTAGCATAACGTCTTTTTGCCTCACTCGTTTCTGACAGGCGTTCAGTCAGATGAATGTGTAAACAGAAGGGCGGTCTCAGGTGAGAGAGGCTTGAGTTTCACCGGCTTCCGAAGTCTTATAGTCGAGCCTTCGAGTTCATTGATCAGTCAGAGAGATTGCCTGCATGTGCTGGAAACTTATCAGATCTTTGTTTTGTTTTTATCGAGCGTTTCTGAAGAATGAACGGCCACTTTCTAGGGGTTTTGGTGCCACTTTGGTTGAACTTTTAAGTTCTGTTGGACACCTTTAGGAGCGTGTTTGTATCGTTAAACATGGAGGAACTAAAAGCCACCGTGGGTTTTCCCCACAAGTCCTCATTCAGCATCAGCAGCTTACTGCTCCGAAACGAGCGCGCGAGAACCGACGCTGCCGCCGCGCCAGAAGCACCGCGCTCCCGCGCCGCGAAGCCGCCTGCGCGCTCCAATCAGCCAAATGACGGAAAACACAAACCTATTCGAGAGCGGAACGACTTAGCGACCAGACCGGATAAAAAAGAGGTAGTTGGAGAGCCAAAGTGTGAAGGAACTGATGGACAGGAGAAGAAGAGTAAACCCGATAAGCCTCCGTTCAGTTATAACGCGCTTATCATGATGGCCATCCGCCAGAGTCCGGAGCGACGGCTCACCCTCAACGGCATCTATGAGTTCATCATGGGCAACTTCCCGTACTACCGAGAAAACCGGCAGGGCTGGCAGAACTCCATCCGACACAACTTGAGCCTCAACAAGTGCTTCGTCAAGGTCCCGCGCCACTACGACGACCCTGGAAAAGGCAACTACTGGATGCTGGACCCGTCCAGTGATGACGTGTTCATCGGCGGAACCACCGGGAAACTCAGGCGCCGGTCTACCGCGGCGTCCCGAGCCAAGCTGGCCATGAAGAGAGGCGCGCGGCTGTCTTCCACCTCCACCGCCGCCGGACTCGCGTTCGCCGGCTCGTTTTACTGGCCCGTCCCGCCGTTCGTGACGCTCCAGCATCGCCAGCCGAACTCCGCGGCGCACCACAACAACTACGCCGCGTCGGTTCTGTCCCAAAGCTCGCGTCACTTCAGCTCGGTCGGTCCCGCAGCGGAAAGACTTCTTCTCCCGTCCGGCCAAGAGGCAGCTTATTGTGGGATGGGTTGTGAACAGATGACCTCCGCCTCCTCCTTCACCACATCTGCGTCTGTGCCTCTGCCTCTCTCTGCGCCCTGCTCTTTTAATTTACTCTCCAATCAGTCCAGTTACTTTTACTCTCATCAGGTGCCTCACACAGCGGGACTGTCGCCCTGGTCGCAGGAGGAATCGTACTTCTCCAAAACATCTCCTTCTGGACAATTTTTCCCGGGAAAGCCATCTCCTTCTTCCGAATACGTTGGAGGACTATGTACAGACATTCCCAGTTATATTCCTCATTTTAACACAGCCACCTCGATGCACTGAAAAGCTTGCAATTTGCAATTTGTTTTTATTTGATAAAAAAGCTTTGTATCTTTTAAAGTATTTATTATTATTATTATTACACTACCGGTCAAAAGTTTGGAATAATTAAAGTCTCTTCTACTCAAAAAATATAGTAAAACAGTAATTATATAGTATTATGAAATATTATTGCAATATAAAAGAACTGTTTTCTATTTTAATATTCATTTTAAAATGTAATTTATTCCTGGCAAAGCTGAATTTTCAACATCATTACTCCATTTTTCAGTGTCACATGATCTTTTAGAAATCATTCTAATATGCTGATTTGGTAGTCAGTTTTTATCAATTATTATTGGTGTTCAATTGCTAATAATATTTCTGGTTATTATCAATGTTGAAAACATTGTTTTTGTTGCTTAATATTTTTGCAACCAATACATTTTTTCAAAGAATTATTTTAAAAATGGAAAGTTCAAAAGAACAACATTTATTTGAAATTAAAAAAGGAACTTTTGTGACATTATAAATGCCTTTCACTGATCAATTTAATGTGTCCTTGCTGAATAAAATAAGAAATGTTTCTTGAACAGCAAATCAGCATATTATAATGACTCCTGAAGGATGATGTGACACTGAAGACTGGAGTAATGGCTGCTGAAAATTCAGCTTTTACATTAAAGAAATAAATACAATTTTACAATATATTCAAATTTGGTATCATATTTTACAGTATTACTGTATTTTTCATCATATAAATGCAGCCTTGACGAACATAAGAGACGTTTTATTCAAAAACATTAAAAAAAAAACGTAATTATTCTTTTTTTTGACCTGTAATGTATTGTTAACAAGCAGTTCACGTGCAATATTTTTATGCATTAATTTTCTGTGAGGCCAAATATTTGTGGCCAAAACAAATACAATTTTCTTTTGCAATTTTCAGACTCAAAAATCAAAAATAAATTTCACTGGAACAAAACTATAGTTACCCAAAGTATTTTAAGCAAATGATGCCAACACGTTGAGCTTAAAAACAGTGCACTTCAAAAAAAAAAAAAAAGGAAGTAGCTAAAGGAAACAATAATGTTTTGTTATGCTGACCACATATGTCTCATTTTTGATGCTATCTTGTTTGAGAACAGGTTTTTTGTTTCGTTTTTTAATGCCGAGTAGTTTGAGTGACATGTATGCACAATGCAAAAAGATTAACTGCATGATTCTGATGTTAGGTGTCTTCGTGTTGTTCAGCATTTACAGCCACTCACATAATCCTGATTGTGTGACTATTTCATACAATGAATTAGCTTTACACAGCCTGCAGGTCATGGCCTGTAATTTTGTCTTGGCCCAAACATGTATCCACTTAAAGGAAATAAACGTTTTGGAGGAACAGTCCTTTGTTGTTCATGAAAATTAATTGTCTAATAAAAGAATTTCCCACTGCAATTGCAAATTGCAGACAAGTCTAGTTTTTCCACATATTAAAAATGTGTATGCAACAATGTTCTGATAAGTTATCATTTTATTAGTTTTCAGTAGTTTTCTTTTATCTTTTTTTATTTTTAGTTCACATCTGCAAGACTAAATGACTGAACCTGGTACAGTTTTCAAATTATTTTCCAATTAACATCAACCTATATATATATATATACTGTATATTTTTTTCAAACCTTTATTTGACCCTCTAACTCTTAACACTTTCTATTCTATTTTAATTCTACTTTATATTTATCTTCTTTTAAAAAAAAATTTATTTAAAAAAACTACGAAAAACAAACAAACACTAGCTTTCAATTTTTTCTATTCTATCTACTTGTTTTTCTTTGTATGTGTGTGTATATGTGTGTGTGTGTGTATAATATATATATATATATATATACACCTTGCTACGTGTACTGCGTTAGGCTAACCGAGACTTGTCATTTGCACTTATATATTGTTGCTCTTTTGTTAGTTTTGACTGCTTTTATTGTCCTCATTTGTAAGTCGCTTTGGATAAAAGCGTCTGCTAAATTACTAAATGTAAATGTAAATGTATATACACACACAAATATATGAAACTACGTTCATTTAATATTTTTACATTTTAATAATGTTTATTTTGTATATGCTTTGATTTATAAAGGACAGAACCGATAAAAGCCCCTAAAATGCAAAGCAGAGGTTTGGAAAATTGGGAGTTCACATACCGCCTTCTTAAAACTCATCCTGAATGAATAGATCATCAATTTATTCAACAATACAGAGAATTTATGGAATTTAGAAGGTCAACGGGCCTATGATTTCACATGTAATGTGATATTTTATGAAATGGTTTATATGTGTGTTACATAATGATATGATTAAACAGGTCTAGCTTCAGTTTATAGAACAAATCTGAAAACACTGTACAATGCTTTGTTTTTCACATCTTTCTCCCTTTCTGTCTCCCAAAACACACACACAATGTCTGAGGGTCCCTAGAGTGCGATCACAGCCTCAGCTCAGTAATGAAGTGGATCTCCTTTTTCAAATGGCTGAGGAGGGGAGAGATAAAAAGAGATGATAGAGGAAATTCAACGAGAAAGAGAGAAAATTCAACCACAGCACACTAGAAATAAAAAAAAATCACTTTCATCAGATTACACTACTTCAAATAGACACAAGTGGTTTTTCACATTTGTACAAGTTGCGGTAACTGAGTGAGCTCGATGAAATGTGTTGCCCTTGAACCAAGGAAACCAGTTAGTGAGTACAGATTTCACCTCACAAAAGGGGCAGATGAGCAGACCTTACATGCCCTCACCAAGCCACCAAGTCTGTGCCATCTTCCAAATATGTGATTCAAATAAATTTATATTCAATCTGTTCATTTTTTCTCAAAATTCAAAATGTAAGTGCTTTTAAGTATTAAATCCTAATTTAAATGTTAGAAAATCAAAAATAAAGTCAAGAATCATTTACAGTTAATAAATGGGGTAGCACTTTTTAAATTATATGTAAATTATACATAATTAACTAACCTTAAACCTAACATGCTAACAAGTATGTTATATTATTTTGTTAAATAATATTACTCAGTTCAGAAAAATGAAAATATGCTGTAAATTCTTCATGAGAAAAGATTTGGAGAAATGTAGCATTGCATCCCTTGCTCACCAGTAGATCCTCTGCAGTGAATGGGTGCCGTCAGAATGAGAGCCTAAACAGCTGATAAAAACATCACAATAATCCGCACATGACTCCAATCAATCAATGAATGTCTTGTGAAGTAAAAGCTTCTGGCCAGTGAAAAAGTCCATGCCCTGTTGTCCTCTCACTGCTCTATCTGTGCATATTACTCTCCTGATTCAGATGAGACAAAAAAAATGTTCACTGGAGAATGCAATATTATGGATAGAAGAATCATATTTTGGCCGGAAGCAATGGTTTAAAGTTAAAAACATTGTAATAATGAATTTGCTAATTACAAACACTTAGCTTTTCCCTTCACAAGACATTAATGGATGGACTGGAGTCATGTGGATTACTTCTGGATTATTGTGATGTTTTTATCAGCTGTTTGGACTCTCGTTCTGACGGCACCCATTCACTGCAGAGGATCCACTGGTGAGCAAGTGATGCAGTGCTAAATTTCTCCAAATCTGTTCTGATGAAGAAACAAACTCATCTACATC